AATAACTTAAATCGCTCTTATTTATATTTTGTTTGAAAGTAGTTGAAACACGATTACTAAGATATTCTTATTGGATTAATCGAAACAAATTACCTAACTTAGTATGTAATAAATTTAAAATATGTAACTAATAAACTAATGTAAACATACATACGTATTGGATCATTAAGCATATCTGTTATATAAGAAATATCACCTAATTCTTAATTAAAACATTTCTATTCGAATAATTACGTATAAAGATTAAGAAATGAAAATTTAACTTACCTTATTATTTTTTTTTTAAAGATGAACTGTCATTTACTTCAAATGTCGCCTACTATTTAAAAGTTCTAAATGTATTGATTCAATGTTGACAAACAGCAATAAGATGTAAATAAAAAACTTATCTTGTTAGTTTTTTTTTTTCCAAACCTCCTACGATTATTTGAAAACATACATATGTAAACGAATATCGATTTGATGAGAAATAACTTAAATCGCTCTTATTTATATATCGTTTGAAAGTAGTTGAAACACGATTACTAAGATATTCTTATTGGATTAATCGAAAAAAACAAATTATCTAACTTAGTATGTAATAAATACGTAAATACGTATTTAAAATACGTAAACTAATAGCATTGATTTGATGCGTAATATTTTTATAGAAAATACGTTTTCCACTTTAATTAAATATTCTGAAACTAAACCTTGTTAGAACTATTAAATAAGTGGGTATTCGAAATACCATTGTTGATAGAGTCTATTAATATAAATAATCTCTAGGATTATTTCCCATTAGATAGTAATGCACGCCATAAAATCAATTATCAATAATTTTATTGCATTCAATTGAAATCGGAAATTGTACGTTGTTAATTTTTAGATAGATAAAATTTAATTACTTCTAATAGCGTTTTATAAATATTTCAACTATTGTAAAATTAACAATTAACATTTTTTTAAATCCATTTTAAAAAGATGTTCATCACTAGATTTGTTAATAGTCTATTTATGTTTCTGATAACAAATGATATGTTTTTACGCCTCCTAATTTTACTTTAGTGATTAAAAATTTAATATTTGACGTGTCGATTGAAATCAATTTACTTTTCAGCAATTCAAATTTTCCAATCCAATTATAATGTGTTATTAAAACACATTCATTCTTATTCCAATTATAGTATACAGCAATACCTCGCATAGTGCGGTTTGTAAATTTCTATACAAAATAAATTTTAATTGAGCAAATAAATTATTTAAATTCATCGATTAGTCCGGTTTCAAACAGTACCGCACTATGCGAGGTATTACTGTAATTTACAAAGATTATACTGCTTCTTTTAAACTACTAACTTTTTTTGTAAGTTTTTAAAGTTGTTAGTAATTTAAAATTAATAAAATTGTTAATTAAATTAATATAGTTATAGTATACTAATGCTAGTTTATGTGTTGAAGCGACAAGAAATGTATCGCATTCGTCCACAGCTGAAGAAAAATGCTCAACTATTCTTTAAAGTCTATTGTGAACTGAGAATGTCGGAGTAATAAAAATCGTTTAGTATAATTTAAATCATGGACGACAAACCATAATTATGACCAATTTATCAATTAAAGTTAATATTGAATATTCACAAATATTCGAAATTATGTTTAACAAATATTTCAAAAATGTATTGTATGAATTTGCAAAAAAACTAACTTAAAACCAAGAATAAATATGTAATTTGTGGACAATTTCATTGACAAATAATCAGTAAAACATTAATTTAATTTGAAATAATTGTAGAGTTCTGTAAATGTGGAATAACAAATAATTTACTAGAGAACTCATAAATGTAGATAGAATTGTAGTGCTTAGGTATTCTATACAATAACTACTAGAATTTGGGTCACAACTAGCATTCATTTAATGGTATTTTATTAAGAATATTAAATTTTTGATGAAAAGTTAAAAAAAAATAATAGTAATAAAATCTTTATGACGTAATATTATAATGTACACAATAATTAGTTTAAAATTAACGTTCCATTACATTCGCATAAACATAAGCTGTTTACATATTTTTTTTTTAGTATGTTTGCTATAAATCAATCAAGTCGAGGACTTAATTAGAAACGAATTCGAAACGGTTTCGAGCTGCACGCGCTTCGATCGTAAACCGATCGGACAAGATTATTTTCCTTTATAATCCTTCGTAATTGGTTTATTTACACTCCTTGTAATTAGTCCGTTCCATCCGTCGATGCAGCGAGCATCGAACGAGTATTTTCAGTTTCAAGTTTCTGATTGAATAAAAATAAATACTATGAAAGAATTGACTTTAAAATCAAACTGGAAATGTAATTGCTACTTTACAAAACTAATTAATAATTCAAGTGGATTATAAATATGTTCATATTTGATATGATTAAATTAAACTTTTTTTGTTATTCAATGTTGCGTCTTCTCAATATGTGATATTATATTACAAACGGTTGCTATAATTTGTTACTTTACCAAAGTAATTCACTTCAGAAATTAATTTTTGTTCACCTTTGATCACTAAAAATATATAGATTAATTTAAAGTTGCGTCCATCTTGTGTTTCATATAAGATATTACATTAAAAACGGCTTTAAAATCGACCGAAAATGTAATGATTATCCTTCACTTAACTTTACAAAAATTAATCCACAATTCAAACAGATTATTAACTCATTTTGAACAATGCTTCTGAAATTATGTAATCATATTTTTTTTTGTAAATATATAGACTAATTAAATGGTGCATCCACACTATACTTAATACGAGACATTATATAAAACAGCTTTAAAATTGACTGAAAATGTAAAGTTTTGTTACATTCACTTTACAAAACTAATTCACATTTCAAACCGATTATTAATTGATTTTGAACAATGCCTTAGAAATTATGTTATAAAGTTGATAATTCCACCTTTTAAATTTATAATCTTGCTTTTTTTTGGTAAATATAAACTAATTAAATGGTGCATCCACACTATACTTGATACGAGACATTATATGAAAAACTGCTTTGAAATCGACTGAAAATGTAAAGATTTGTTACAAAAAGTAATCCACATTTCAGATTATTCATTGATTTTGAACAATTCCTTAGAAATTATGTAATAAAGGTGATAATTCCACCTTTGAAATTTATAATCTTGTTTTCTTTATAAATATAGACTAATTAAATGGTGCATTCACACTATATTTGATACTAGACATTATATGAAAAACAGCTTTAAAATCGACTGTAAATGTAAAAGTTTGTTACATTCACTTTACAAAAAGTAATGCACAATGCAAACAGATTATTTACTCATTTCGAACAATGCCAAAGAAATTATGTAATAAAGTTTATTCAGTATTAAATTCCACCTTTGAAATTTATAATCTTATTTTTGTGTATTAATATATAGACTAATTGAATGAAGTATCCACACTATAGTAGATATGAGACATTATATGAAAAACAGCTTTGAAATCGACTGAAAATGTAAATGTTTGTTACAAAAAGTAATCCACATTTCAGATTATTCATTGATTTTGAACAATGCCTTAGAAATTATGTAATAAAGGTGATAATTCCACCTTTGAAAATTATAATCTTGTTTTCTTTATAAATATAGACTAATTAAATGGTGCATCCACACTATACTTGATACGAGACATTATATAAAAACAGCTTTAAAATCGACTGAAAATGTAAAGATTTATTTCATTAATTTTGTTAAAAAAAACGAATCCACATTTCAAACAGAAATGCCCTAGAAATTATGTAATAAAGTTTAAAATTCCACCTTTGAATTGAATTGAATCTTGTTTTTTTATTATAAATATATAGACTAATTAAATATTAAATATACTACGCTTGATATGAAACATAATCGACTGAAAATGTTACATTCATTTTAGATATGAGACATTATATGAAAAACAGCTTTGAAATCGACTGAAAATGTAAAGGTTTGTTACAAAAAGTAATCCACATTTCAGATTATTCATTGATTTTGAACAATTCCTTAGAAATTATGTAATAAAGGTGATAATTCCACCTTTGAAATTATAATCTTGTTTTCTTTATAAATATAGACTAATTAAATGGTGCATCCACACTATACTTGATACGAGACATTATATGAAAAACAGCTTTAAAATCGACTGAAAATGTAAAGGTTTGTTATATTCACTTTAAAAAAAGTAATCCACATTTCGAACAGATTATTAACTTATTTCGTATAATGCCTCAGAAATTGTGTAATAAAGTTTAATCAGTGTTAAATTCCACTTGAAATTTATAATCTTATTGTTTTGTATAAATATATAGACTAATTAAATGATGTATCCACACTATAGTAGATATGAGACATTATATGAAAAACAGCTTTGAAATCGACTGAAAATGTAAAGATTTGTTACATTAATTTTGTTACAAAAACTAATTCACATTTCAAACAGAAATACCCTAGAAATTATGTAATAAAGTTTAAAATTCCACCTTTGAATTGAATTGAATCTTGTTTTTTTTATTATAAATATATAGACTAATTAAATATTAAATATACTACGCTTGATATGAAACATAATCGACTGAAAATGTTACATTCATTTTACACAAAGTAATCCACAATTCACACAAAACTCTTCTAACAATTCTTTCAGAATTATTTTATATAAGTTTTAACGTACTTTCAATGCCAT